TATTTGTCAGGCAATGCTGTTGTTAACACTGTTTTTCATTATGGTAGATGAGATTTTTAGAGACCTCTCTATTACTTATACACTTGCTTCTTCTATGATCTTCATTGAGACAAGTTGATTTAGAAAATCCCAAAGTGATGAAGCCTTCAGAAAACATCCCCTGCCCTTATTTTATCCTGTAGGCTGGTTATCCTCTGTTCAGTGGCTCTCAGGAACTTCATTCCTTATGGGTGGCTTACCTAAGTCACTCCTATTTTAGTGTCCCTGCTCTGCTCAGCTTGGTCCTTTTCAGTGGATACTGAATCCTGATGGTAAATGTGAAGGACGTAGAAGTGGGTGACTCCACAGTAGTCTCCCACCTTGAGGCTTGGTTGTTCAGAGCAAAGTCTCATCTCACAGCCAAGCACAGCAGAAACCTGATCTCATGAAGCCCTGCTGTGTGCCAGCCATCAGTTGGCAGGGGTGTTACCCACAGGATTGGGGTAGCTAAAGCAAAGACTGAGGTTCAAGGTTGAGGTGGGAAATACAGGCAACGAGGGCTCATCATACTCACGGAATAAGTAAGGACACATACGTGTTCCACCCAGCTTTGCTTAAAGTTGACAATGACTGAAAGTTCAGCATGGGTTTATTGGAACAATCCTCAATGACATTGGTGACATGGCAGTCAGTACACAGGAAGTAATGCTCTAGGAGCTTATAAGCTGCACCCTTTGTTCCCCCGTGATTTTAGCAAAGCACTGAAGTGGCAAAGGGATAGGACATTAGAGGTACAGTAATAAGAGGGCCTTAGGAGAACAGGGCTTAGAGAATGGCAGGCTGACTGTGGGAAACAGAGTGACAAGAGAGCAAAGGGGATCTCGGACTTAAAAGCAAAGAACTCCCAGAGATTTCTTCTTTCAAGTATAGGGCATCTGCATTTCCTTTAAAACCAATTAAGGCCTTCACAGGTAACCTGACTTCCTTTGACATTCACTGAATGGGTTTCTAACTCTGAACATCTCACTGTGTTAACTTCTGATCATCTTGACGATTTGGTTTATTCTACCACAATTTTTTAAAATGTTGACATGTGAATGGAGCTCGGATAGAAAGTGACTGCTCCGAACATGTGTGCCAGCTCCACAGTTGGGACGGCGCTTCCTTGGTCATGGGCTTTGCTCAGCACCTGCCTTTGCCCCCAAGGCTTCTGTGTCATTCTACCTGCCCAGGGTTGGGAAGCCTCACAGCCACATACCCTGCCATGGATTCAGATGGGCCACAGCAGCAGGTGGCTTCCTCTTGGGTAGCTACAGACTTCTGGCACCCTCCTCTGCTAGACGTTTTGTTCTGATTTTTACAGCCATTTTAAACTTCCAAAAGTAAAGATTTGTCCTCCTCCAATCTGCTTTTCAGTTTTGCTGATATAGTGTCAACTAGTCTTCCGCAAATGGCAATATGTTCTATGCTTTGTCTAGCCTCTTCCTAAGACATTTAACTGTCCCTGAAGTGAAACCTCTTGTTTACAAGCATTTTAAAGTCACGGCTCTATTAAACAATGAAATTGATTACACTGTAAATGGTAAAGGTTTGGATTTTAAAAACTGTTATTTATGTATGTGTTTTCAGTCTATCTCTGATCACAGTGTTTGTCCTAAATTGCATGAGGATTGAAAAGAAGAAAAGAAACTTCTTAAGGTGTGATAAATGGTGAAAAGCCATGGAACCAAACAACCTATGGGACAGAACTCTTTATATATGTATGTGTGTGTGTGTGTGTGTGTGTGTGTATATATATATATATATATATAAACTAGAAAAATTCTCTTGGAAGTTCTAAATGATCATATTCATGCCACATGTATTTATTAGCAATCACATTTTATTCCTTTAAAATGATGAACTCCAAGTCAGAGGATTAATGACAGACCTTTGTTGAATAGAATCTGTTACATAGTAGGTGCTCAAGAAATCTTCAGTGAATTGAATATGGTATTCAATGAGAGATTTATATCCAATGACCTCTAACATGCTACCTCACTTTGACCTGTGATTTTATAGAATTTTCTTAAGAACAAGGTTAATAAATGGGGAAAAGCTCTGGTAGATATGGATTGCCAGTTTCTTCAAACTAGAAGGTGAGCCCAGAAAGCTCATAGAATGGTGATCTAAGGACCAGGCTTCACTGAAGGCCAGTTTGCATTCTGCATGATTTACATTAAATCAGATGCCAAAGACAAACAGCCTGGGTTCTCACCCATCGGCATCGCCCCGGTTGACTTTTAAAAAGTACATTATTTCTATTGCCTTCAAATTCTTCATGCATTTTTGCAACAATTATAGAAATCTACTTGGTTTTGGTCTGCAATGACGAATATCTGGATGTTTATTAGGAGTTGATAAAAGCTCAGTAGAAATGACCAGGCTTTCTTCTACTTGGTTACATGCGTGGGCTCAAATGAATAAAAATAACAGCAGCTCATTGTCATGTAGCATTTTAAGATACACATTGTACTTCTCAATAAATGTGGATAGATAAGGTATTATTTTTCTGTTTAAAAATTTAGAACTGAACTTCAGAGAGGTCTCACAAGTAGCCCCACTTTGTAGTTAGCAGAAGCAGGAGCCGAACCCACTATTCAATTGATGAGTTGTTTTTTTGCTGTATTATACACTGTTCATCACATTCTTTACAAACTGTGTCAAAGTGTCCAAAATTTTAATATTTTTTCTGACTTCTTTTGTATCTATGAGGCTGTTTTTTAAGGACTGGGAACTCCACGGGGGCTACTGGTTTTAGCTAAAGGCCTCATAAACATGTGGTACTTAGTAAATGGCAGAAGAAGGTGAAGTGTGGATACTCCAGAAGATCAGGTCTTGCTTCAACAAAATATCCAGAAAAGAAATTAAGAAAATGATCTAAAGGTGGTGGAATAAATCTGACATAACTTTCCTATGTACATATATGAGTACTCCATAGTGAATCCCATCATCACATACATCCACAAGACTGGGATCCTAATTAGAACAAGACACACTCCATGCTTGTATAAATATATCAAAATAGATTGTACTGTCATGTATAACTAAAAAGAACCAATAAAAATTGTATCAAGGAAACACAGCAGGAAGAAAGGTAGCTCTTTAATAAATGGCACTGGAGAAATTGCTATGCACATGTAATAAAATGAAATCAGATCCTTATTTTGCCGCATACTCAAAAATCGACCTAAAATGGCATGAAGACTCAAGCTTAAGTCCAGAAGCTGAAAGGCCCCATGACACTGGGCTTCACAGTGACTTTTTTTTTTTCAGTATGACACAAGAAACACAGTCAAACAAGAGCAAAAATAAATAAGTAGGAGCATATCAAATTTAAAAGTTTCTGAGACACCAAAGGAAGCAATCAGCAAAATGGAAAAAACACCCTACAGAATGGAAGGAAATATTTGAAAGACATAGATCCAATAAGGGGTTAATATCCAAAATATATAAAAAATTAATACAACTATATAGTAAAAAATCAAATAACCCAATTAAAAATGATCAGAAAGCTTGAATAGACTTTTTTTTCTGAAGAAAATAAATGGTCAATAAATACACAAAAAAGTACAACTATCAGTAATCATCAAGGAAATGCCAATCAAAACCACTATAAATCATCACCTCACACCTGCCAATATAAAAAGTCAAAATGTGTGTTGGCACGGATGTAGAGAAAAGGGAATACACACCCATTGTTGGTGGCATGGTACATTGGTACGACCATTATGAAAAACATGGAAGTTCCTCCGAAAATTAAAAATACGACTTCCATATGACCTAATATATTGTGGGTATGTATCCAAAGGAAGTAACATCTTTATCTCAGATATCTGCCTTCCCATGCTCATTATAGCATTCTTCACAATAGAGAAACAACTTAAGTGTCTGTTGATAGATGAATGGACAAAGAAAATGTGCTAAATATAGACAATGGAATGGCATTCATCTAAAGCAAAGATGGAACCCTATCATTTGCCTCAACCTGGATAAACCTGGAGGACCTTTGAATACGCCAGTTACAGAAGGACCAGTACTGCATCCCTTATATGCATGTGAGAATGAAAAGAATCGGAACTTCCAGAAACAGAGAATAGGAGGGCGGTTAACTGAGAAGCAGGGGTGAGGGAAATGGGGAGCCCTTGATCAAAGCATTCAAACTTCCAGAATTATAAAATGAACACGTTCTGGAGAACTAGGGCATGGCATGGTGACCAAAATTAGTAAGACTGTATTGTGAACTTGAAATTTGTGAGGGGAGTAGATTTTAAATGGTTCTACACACACACACACACACACACACACACAACTGTAACTGTGTGAGGTGAGAGATACGCTAATTAGCCTGTTTGTGATTATTTCACCATGTGCATATGTGTATCAAAACCTCATGTGGTACACTTTAAATATGTGCAGTTTTTATTTACCAGTTATGCCCCAGTAAAACCGGGGTAAAACAGATCAACTTCTCCCAAATTCTAGATTTCATTGCCTCTGTCAGTCTGTGCCCCAGGCTTTCTAAGTTTCTTCAGCCTTTCTATGGGATCTTCATAAATAAAGATCAGTTGAGTGGTTCATTAGAAAGAAACGAATTCCTTCTTCAAAATTAACTTGTTTTCTGTTTCCTATGGCTCCTCTCCACATGAACTAATGACTGAATCCATCAGCCGCTCCTTTTGGGTCCCAACAGACCAATAGAATCCCATTTATCAGGAACTCGGTAGATCCCAGGTTACAGCCCTCTGAACTGTTTATCTTAGCTGTAGTTGTTGCTTTTCTCTGCCCCTCATAATCAATCAATATAAACCAATCATTAATAATTTTGGGAAAATTGTGACTTTGCAGTAATGTTTTTATATTGTCAGTGAGGATCCTGGCTCATTTTTGACGTTCACGGTTAGAATGAGAACTAAAAACTAATTCTGCCTTCATTATCTTCATGCTCTCTCTTTCTCTCTTTTCCTGCTCTCATTGTCAAGGTCATGGACAGTGTAACTGTGGGAGATGTGACTGCAAAGCAGGCTGGTATGGGAAGAAGTGTGAGCACCCACGTTCCTGCCTGCTGTCTGCTGAGGAGAGCATCAGGAAGTGTCAGGGAGGCGCTGAGCTGCCCTGCTCTGGAAGGGGTGAGTGTGGTCTCTGGGGCTTGTCACTGATTCCTAATCCTGTGCATCAGAGGAATACTATTCATGGGAGTCTTACAGAAGAGCACTTGCATGAGAGAAGGCTGGTTATCGGAACTGATAACCAGTCCACCACTGACCAGTGGAATTACATGGTGAAAGATCTCCCCCCAACTGCCCCACCCACACATGTGCACTTGCTTGTACACACATGCACATACACACTGTCCGTAGTTCTCTGTAGCTTTGAGGACTGCTCAATTTCAGTTCCCTTTCGTTCTGTTCAGTGTTACTCTTTTATTTAAGTTCAGTTTGTATATTTACTTAAAGCTTTTGAATGAGATGATTCAATTGTGCGCTGACATTTATGAAACCCACTACCCTTATTTTGGGAGATGGCTGGCTTTTGCAAAGGAATTGTATAAACAGCCCTGAACAGGTGCTGTCATTTTAGAAGATAGACTCAGATGTGTGCTTACTACCAGAGCAGCATAATTTCAGAAGGAAAAATTCACCTAGAGGAAAAGTGGCTTGTTTGTTCTTTTTGTCAAAATGAGAAACACAAATTCACGTTTCATATGGGAATAGCAAACTTTACATGAAATGTACTTCCAGAGGAACTGATAATTGATGTTATTACAACTTTTGTTTAAGAAAGAAGAAAGGAGAAGAAGTTTAATTTTCTGTTCCTTATCTCTTTTTAAAATCTACTTTTTAAAATTAAGACATAACATGAAATTTAGCCTTCTAAAATGCAAAACTCATTGTTTTAAATATAGTCACAGAATTATGAAATGACCACCACTAATTCTAGGACATTTTCTAGAACCACCCCCGCCCCCATAGTGTCACTCCCAACCAGTAGAAACCACTAATCTACTTTCTGTTGTGGATTTATCTATTCTGGATATTTTGTATAAATGGAATCACAAAATATGTAGTCTTTTTGTGGTTGGCTTAACATAATGTTTTCACTCAGTATAACGTTTTCAAGGTTCATCAATGTTGTAATGTGTGTTAGTACTTGGTGGATTTTTATGGCTTAATAATATTACACAGTGTGGATATCCCATAGTTGTTTATCCACTCATCGGTTGATGGATATTTGGATAATTGCTTGTCTTTTACTCATTGGTCCTTATGAATGATGCTTCTGTGAACATTCATGCAAAAGCTTTTGTGTTGGCATGAGTTTTCATTCCTTTGGGTGCATACCTGTGAGTGAATTCCATACGCTGAGTCATATGATCACACCACATGTAACTTTTTTAGTGTTACGAGGGTGTCTCTAAAATGGTTGCAACATTTTATGATCCAATCAGTGGTGACAGTTCCAATTTCTTCATATCTTGTCCTTGCCTGGCTTTTTATTACTTACCAGTTTCTTTGTATGGAAAACTCCCTAGTCTCCAAATTTTTTTGTGTGTGTTATAGGTGTTTTCTCATGACCAATATTTTCCTCTAATGATTATAAATAGGATACTAGGTTATGGGTAGAAGGATTTATTGTTTTAATTTCAGAAGTACTTCTGACTAGCCCCATCTTCCACCAGCAATCCAGAGAGGAACTATTTCTCCACTTGCTTTAATAATTCTGCCAGATGGTGCTGTGTATGCCTGTTATGCTTTGAAGTATCAAAGAATCAAAATTATCATCCCTCAGATTAACATTATTTACCCTCACTTACAATCTACAGCAAAACAAACAATTTCTCATTACAATTTAATATTGACAAAATGCTTACCTATTGTGCCTCTTCATATGAAAAAGAATGGACATAGGAAGCCCAATCAGTGTCTCTTCTTATTAAAATAAATCAGTTTATCTTGTCATAACTTTATAATACTATAGGGGACAATTTCATGCAGGGAGGGAAAGAAAATAACTGTATCTCAAAATAGATTTTGTTCTTGAGAACCTTTTCCAGATGTGTTTACTTGAGAAAAGTTAAGATATAGTTTTGCTACCATCTTAAAGTGATAAAGCACAGGGAAGTCTAATATCTTACAGCATTTTCTAAGTTAAAGGGCTCACTTTCTGTAAGATAACCTTGAGTGGCTATGTATATAGTATAAGTAAATAGATTAGTTTCTATACTATATTTATATTATTTACCAATAAGGATATCTGCATATGTCAACTCCCCCCAAAAAATCTGCAACAAAATTCAAAAGTTCTTTCTAATTTAAAGAACAAAATGATAAATTATATAACGAGGAAAGAGAAAGCACATACATTACCTCTCAAACATGGAAAATCACTTTAGTATACAGATTCCAGTGGGTTTTCATTGGTCTCTAAGTTTTTTTTAATACATAGAACAATAGTGAGAGCATTTTTGTAGACATCATATTGATCTTGAATAAACTCTGACAAGGCTTGATCTTCAACACATATTGGTCTCTTATCTTTCTAAGAGTAACTATTTAGCTATCATTTGAAAGTAATGGAATATATTTAAAATATATTTTATCAAAAAGATGTTGAATACATGTATAGAATTTTGACTTAAAAGTCATTAAATTCACTTAAGCTTATAAAAAATAGAAATCCTATCTTTGATTTTTATGGAATAACATGCTTTAATTAATGAGTTAAGTAATTTTTTAAAAAAATTTCTTGCCTAGGACTATATTGTCAGAGAAATACTTTGTAAATAAATGATAAGTTTCTTTACAGGGAAAAGGAGATCTTGATGAGTGCAGTGATCTTCCAGGGAACCAGAGCAAAATAGAAGGTAGAATAAGGGAGAATAAAAACTAAGGATTTATGACAGCCAGTGCAAGGCTCAGACCAGTGGTCAGAGACCTTGGAGTTCTTCAAACTACATCTGCAAATTCACTGGCACTGGGTGTTTGGAAGCAAACATCCAACATGAAAACTGGATTAGTTTTGCAATTTTTGAATGAACGCTGCAGCTGTGGTTACATGAGTGAAGAAAGCAATTACAAGGCCCATCAGTTCTCAAGCCTAAGAGCCTCAGCGGCTCACCAGCTGGGGCCCAAAGACAAACAAAGGCCCAGAAGCCTAAAACCTCCTGTAGGATGTTCTCACATTCTGCAGAGGTCAGGTGATGGAATTTTTTTTTTTTACCAGAAATGAATTGAGACTCCTTGCTTCCACTGGTGGTGATTAAGTGGGAGCATTATGTTTCAAAGGTAGGAAAACAAATTATATGATCTCTTTATTAATCATTACTTGTGTTCCATTTCTTATTACCTACAGATATCATTTCATGATGGATCATCTATAATCCATGTACATATAAAATTATTTATTAGTTTCTGCTTCTGAGATTAGGAGTGGAAAATCACATTCTAAATTCACATATCGGTGCTCTGCTAACAGTATAGGGGAAAAACAGCCAAATGTGTCTGACCTAACTTTCCTATATACATATGTGAATATACCACAGTTAATCTCACCCTTAAGACATTAAAATAAACTAAAATTAGCCAGGCATGGTGACACATGACTGTTAATCCCAGCGGCTCAGGAGGCTGAGACAGGATAATCATGAGTTCAAAGCCAGCCTCAGCAATTTATCAAGGTCCTAAGCAACCTCGTGAGACCCTAAATAAAATATAAAAAAGGGCTGGGGGTGTGGCTCAGTGGCTCTGGGTTCAATCCTTGGTAACAACAACAACAACAATAAAACACTAAAAGTAAATAGCAAAAAGATCAGTGGAGTATAGAGAAGGGAAGGGGGAGAGAGGAGGGCAATGGAAAGTACTGGGGACTGAATTAGAACAAATTATATCCATGTTCTTATAATTATTATGTCAGAATGAATCCTAATGTTATGTATAACTGAAAAGAACTAACAGAAACAGCTACTAATGGACTTATGATAGGCTATAGATTAGTTTTAAACTCTTCTTGATTTACTGAGGTTATTACTGAGGTTCTTCTGAGCAAGAGTCGGACTTTAGCCAATACATATGAGCAAAGGATGTTTATCTTATCTAAGCAGAAGCTTTGAGAGGCAGGACATCATTTGAAATCCCCTTTTCCCTTTGGCCTGAGGATTTGCAGTTCTGGAAATAGGGGCTGTTTCCTTAGCCTGGGTTTTGGAAACAGGACCATTGTCAGAAAGCTCTGCTGACCTCCAAGAACCTCTAATGTGAACGAGAAAGAAATTTCTGTTGTTTTAAGAAACTGTGATTTGGGATTTGTTCTGCAGCAGAACTCCTTACTGACTAATACTCTCTTCCAAAAATTTAGGAAATATAGTTGACCTAAAACAAATGAACAGGCAAGCAAACACAACAAGTTTACATATAAACCTAATGATCTAGATGATCACATGAACACTGGGGGTTAATATCTGTATGTATAGGTTATCAGGATCAAGAGCTAAATCAAAAAAATATAAGCATACATTTTACAAATGAGATATTTATGCTGTTCTAAAAACAGCAGTTATGTGAATTTATTCAACAGGTGGAATGCTAAGAACATTGAATGAATTTTCTTTATACTTTCCTCAAACATAATGAAGTAGGAAAAAGTATAATTATTATTCTTTTTACAGAAAAATGAAGTAGAAATTAGAACAGTTTGCTATTTCACATCAGAGGTGCAAGTTTTAATACAAACTCTTAATACAGTTTTACTGACTCCAGAACTATTGTTTTAGATAATTTACTTGTTCTTTTAGTATGCTATTTTCTAAAAAAATATATAATAAATATATTTCCCTGCTACAAATACAATATCATACGAAATCATTGAAGTGGTTATATAATATTCCATTATTTGTTTACATAGTAACCATCATATGGTCTTAGCAAAAGAATTTAACCAATCCTCATATAATAGAAATCATATTGTCTCTTATTCAGTGCCACAGTTTATATTCCTGTAGAAGAACATGTACACAAATCCTTAGTATTTATTGTTGAATGTGGAATGCATAGATCTAAATAAATAAAAATGGATTACATTTTTTAAATATAAAAGATCAGATGATTTTTATTCTCTAGAAAAATTGCACCAATAT